TTGGACGTCTTCGTCGACGTACGTCACAACACTTCACCACTCATTGTATTCTCAATGCCTCCGGAGCTCAATGATTCACTCTAACGAAACGAAACAACGGTATACAAACTAAGTAATACAAAATGATAGGAAAACGTCGGGTTTTCCTAGGGTTTTCAACAATTACAAATTATGAATTACCGGTCGAAACATTTTTACAACTATTACGCTTACATCAATAAGAATTCAAACATGCATACTCATGGATCAACACATATTTTTACACTATTCTATTATTAGAAAATATCGGATTTTCTGATGGGTTTCAAACATTACTTTGGTTTTCAAACTTTACTTATGAACTCACCAACATTTCGTATGTTGACGTTTTTCAAAATACTTGTATTCTCAGGTAACAGATAAGGTGACAGATGATTTATACTCTATGATGTTTGCTGTAGTTTAAGTGAAGTTGAACAGTTATTTTGAGAATGTAACGTTTGAACAATGTAACGAATGTAAACACTAACGGTTGTACTATTCCAAATGTTGGTGATGCTTTATGTTATGTTTCATGTATATGCATTGTAATGGTATTCAATGAGTCACGATAGCCCTCGGACGTTTCCCCGCCGTTTGGTTCGGGGGTGTGACAATGTTGTACCCTTTCTACCATCAACATCCATTCTATAGCTACTATCACTGAAGTCAATCAACTTCCTATCACTGCCCTTTCTATACATTAGACAATACTTTGTAGTCCTTTTATGTACCTTAAGATGTGTTTGAATGCTTTGAGGTGACTTTCCTTCGGTGACTCCATGTACCTACTTACTACTCCAACTAAGTAGCTCAAATCAGGTGTTGAGTGAATGAGGTAACGAAGGCTACCAATGAGGCGTTGGTAATCAGTAACATTGACTGATACCCTATATTCCTCCTTTGTTAACCTGCGTCTTGGCTCTATTGGGTATTTCAATAGGTTGCAGTCTCCCATTCCCACTAACTGAAGAATCTTCTTAGCATATCCAGTTTGACTGATTGTAATGTTGTCTTTATCTTGCTGAACTTCTATGCCCAGGTAGTAGGATAAAGTTCCCAAATCACACATATCAAATATCTTCAACATCTGCCTTTTGACTAGTTCCTCACTTGTACCTGTCACGATCAAATCATCCACATAGACACCAACAATCAGAATCATATTTAACTTCTGAGTTTGTACACAACATACTATTGTGGACATATTTGGAACCCCGTATCCTTTAATGTTTTGTCAAGTCGGTTATTCCAAGCTCTTGGAGTCTGACGCAAACCATAATGGGCCTTATTTAGTTTGTAACCATGCTTTCTTTTCCTGCAATGACAAAACCAATTGGTTGAGTAACATAGACCTCTTCCTGTAGGATTTCGTTCAAGAATGCAGACTTTACATCCAAGTGATGAACTTCCCACCCTTCAATTCACTTGCCGTTAATGCCAATAACATCCGTATTATCTCCAAACAATCCACTGGTGCAAGAGCTTCATCCAAATCAACATCATTTTATTGTACATACCCCTTTGCTACAATTCTTGTTTTGTGTTTGGTGACTTTCCCTTCTGCATTGTTTTTCTATTTGAACACCTATTTCAATCCTATCGCCTTTTGCCCTTTTGAAAGATGTGTCAGTTTCCATGTATTTTTCTTTCAACTGGGTCCCGTTCCTGTTTCATTGCAGTTCTCCATTCTTTATCACCAGAGACTTCTTCAAAAGTTGTTGGTGCTTCACATGCATACATTAGAGTTTATGAATCATCTTCCAAAGATTGTGTTTCATTGTAGATTTCTGTCAAGGCTCGAAACCTCGAACAAGTGTGTCGTCGTATGGTGATCTGTTGAGACTAGAAACTTCATCTGATGATGGGGTTCTTGTATCATCAAAATTATTTGGTGAATCACCAATATAGTTACCAGCTTATGATTAATCAGGTGGTGTCGATGGTGAACGACTTCCACTCGATTTCGAATTAGGGGTTCCCATCTCCCCTTGTACTGGATCGATCCCCACAATAGTTTCCTGGGCTATACATACACTAGGAAATCTGACCCAATCCTTTAAAATCGGGCCTTCAGTTTGGACCTCATCCCAATCCCATTTTCTCTTCTCTTCGAATATGACGTCACTTGCTACACATATTTTATTTCATTTAAGGCAGTACAAACGAATGGCTTGCTTCGTTCTTCGTTATCTCACTTCTATCGCTCAACTTTATGAGTTTATTTTGTGGTATCTTTGCATCAGCAACACAACCAAACACCCTAAAATGCCCCAAAGTTGGTTTCTTCTTCTGCAAACCTTCATATGGAGTCATGTCGTTTATTCCTCTTGTTGTAACTCGATTAAGGATCTTGTGACCTCACAGATTGTTCAAATTTTCTGCGTTCTACTACTCTGTTTTGTTGTGGGGAGTAGGGTGTTGTCAACTGTCTCTTAATTCCTTCTTTCCTGCAATATTAAGTGAATTCATGGGACGTGAACTCACCTCGTCGGTCTATGCATAGTGTTTTCGGCTTGTGTTTCCCTTCACTTTTAGCTAATATCTTGAACTTATTGAAGGCAGTTAGCGCTTCATTCTTGGTATTAATTACAAACACCCACATGTAGCTACTATAATCTTCTACAATCAAGAGAAGGTATTGATTACCTGCACGAGTTTGGGGTGTTATAGGACCAGCTCCAGTGGGGAACTAGCTCGCCGTTGTGCTTCTTTTGGGAACGGTTGGCGGGTTTGCTTGGCGACTAGGCATCCCTCACAAATCTGTGTGGGATGCTTCCTGTTCATGTTCTTGAGTTAGATTCATATTGGCCTACTTTCGTTTGGGGTTGGGGCACTCAGATGCGAAGTGCATGTATATTTCACAGTTGAAACATTTTATATGACTCTTATCTCTTCCCTTTCCTCTATTATTACTGGTGTCTCGTGATGCGGCCTCTTCTTCCCTGTGAGCCTCCTCTTCCATGATAATTTCCTTGTCCCCCCTCTCACTATGAGAGGAACCACGTCCTCTTCAGTGCCTCCTTGGGTCTTTTGACCTGATTGCCCTTCTGATCGAGTAAGCAATAATCCCGCTTCACCGCTTGAGTTATCACTACGAACTCGTAAACGATCTTCATAGGCTTTGAGTCTCCCATTAGCTTCTTCAAATGACATGCTATCAAGGTCTAAATATTGTTCTATAAAGGCCACAAGTTTCAGATACTTTTCTGGGACAAAATCTAACAACTTCCTTACCAAAACATTGTCTTCTATTGTTGCACCAAGATTGATGTATTTTGAGTGGGATAAACTCAACTTTCCTGCAAACTCATCTATGGATTCTCCTTATTTCATCTTAAGTGCATCAAGCTCACTTTTGAGAGTGTGCAACCTTGCATTTTACACTCGATCAGCACCTAGGTACCTTATTTTAAGCGAATCCCACAATTCTTTTGCAATATTCTTGTTGGCCACCTGCATGAGAATATCTTTTGGAATTTCCTGGAAGATATAAGCTCTTGCCATCTTGTTCTTCTTTTCATTCACAGTCACTCCAACTGTGGGTTCAATGGATTCCCAAACACCTTAAGTATCCATGATAGTCTCCATCTTTATCGCCCAAGTGGTGTAATTTGTTGAAGTCACCAACAAAGATTGTGAGATAGTTCCGTAAAGCCATGTTTTCTCGATGGCGTCAATTTCATCCCATTTTTCTTTGTCATTGCCAAAAGCAATAGAAGTCGATGGCAGGACGTGTTTGCTTAACACCAAAACCTTTGCAGTGAGTCTCAAACAGCTCATGCCATGCATCGCAATTCATGCGTTCCAGATCCAAGATGAGGGGAACGAATGATTTGATGTTAGTAATCCCATATGGTTTATTGGAATTTTTTTTTATCTTTTCTGATGAATGCATCTTGAAAGAATTGAGAAGGGTAGAGAGGGATTAAGAAAATAGAGAGAAAGACGATGGATGAAAAATATTGTAGCCTTACAAAACACAGAGATCAGTGGCAAAGGGATGAACTGCCAGAGAAGAAAGGGTAACAAGAACAGACAAGAAAATAATAGTTTGATACCATGCTGTAACAATAATTTTCCATGAATCGTTCATTTTCTCATTACGTAAACATACATACTGAACAATACATGATGGGCTACACATAAGGGTTGAAGGCCCACAACACAAATACATACACTAATAATAAGGCCATCCCCAATGGGGATTCTATGAAGAGTTTAATGGGATAAAAAGTAGTGATGTGGCACTCAATAGAGTAAAAATGCAATGTAGCTTGAGTTTATTGAATGGGGAGTTCAATCCCCATTGAACCGTGTAATGGGTTTTTTTTTTTTTTTTTTTTTTTTTTTTTTTTTTTTTTTCAATTTAATATAACAATTTCTAGTGAAAATAACACTTTTTTTTCAACAAACATATTATATATTATTATTATTTTATTTATCTTTATTTTATTTTATATTCAATAATTTAGTTTATTAAGTTACTTTATATTTTTTTTATTCTAAAGAATAAAAAAATATATAAATCATAAAAATATTTTAAAAAGATAACATCTTATTTAATGTATTATTCGTCACTTTTAATTTTTAAATTGTAAACTATAATTAATATTTTATAATTGTAATTTTGAATTTCTAATTAATGTAATATTTTAGTTTTATTTATTAATATTATTTATAAAAAAATAAAATGATGATGTGGCAATCCATTGAACTTTTAATAGTTTAATGGAGTGTAGAGTTTAATGGGTTAAATAGTATGGTTAGTGGAATACTGATGTGTCAATCCATTGAACTCTTAAGAGTTCAATGCATTGGAGATGGCCTAATAATAATAATAATAATAATAATAATAATAATGATAATAATAATAATAATATCGTTAACATGAGTCTCCCCTCTCTCTGTAAGGACCTTTTTGGAGAGACGATTTTGGACTCCACATGCAAATGTATATTACAAAAAAACTGTTAGTAGTTTTGATTGAGCCAAATCAACTAATTGCAAATCATATACATAACAAATACATGTGTTATCTCAATTACTTGCTATCGCCCTTCCATCATGGATAGACTGACTATATTTCTAGAACACATGTTTTTGAATTCCTCACGAATACCATTGATACTAGGCACCCTTTGTAAAGTAAATAATGACACTTTTGGCTCACGAATTCCTCACTGCATAACATAGACACTGCTTCTGACATTGTTGGCCTGTCTTCAGCTAAGTCTTGAACACAAAGAAGCCCCACGTGTATGCATCTCAACCCCTCTGTTGACTCTCCTAATGTCTCATCCATCATTTCTACTTCTCTCCCTTCATTCCATGACTTCCATGCCTGAAATGTATGTGTTAGGAATAAACGAGAATAATGACACAGAAACGATACATGTGTTTAATGTGGTTCCATACGTCCACACAGGAAGTAGTATTCTTTAGGGGTGAGCATGGTGCGGTTTTCAGACCAAACCGAACCACAAACCGCATGGTGCGGTTTTTGCATTCTTAAAACCGTTGGGTGCGGTTTTGCAATGGTTCGGTTTTTCGGTTTTTAAATGCGGTTTCGGTTTGTATCGGTGCGCTTTCGGTTTTTAAACCGTGTTAAGAATTTGGTGCAGTTTTCTTATGTTTTTTCGTGCGGTTTTTTTAAAACTGTAAGAACTGAAAACCATATGCATATAAGCTTGTATTGTGCTGTTTTTTTTAATACATTCATTTTCAGCTCAAAACAAAATTACATAATCAAAAATTGTAAGTCACTTAAAATACAACTTGTCACTACTCTCACAAACTAATTAATGATTGAAGGTTGGTTGATTTTGAGTTAATTTGTTACAAGCTTATTACATGTAATCGATTAGTACGTTTAGCTAACAATAGAACATTTCTTTTGCAACCCATATAGTTTTATACAAACACAAAATAAACAAATAATAAATATATTATCGTTTATAACTATTTTAAATAGAATGTATATAATATACATTGATTGATTTATTACTATACACACTTGCGGTGCGGTTCGGTTTTGATGGACCGGTTTTTAGGATAGAAACCGCACCGCACCGTTGACCTTCGGTTTTTGCAAAAATTAAATCCGCACCATTGGTTTTTGCAACGGTTTCGGTTTTTCGGTTGCGGTTTACTGCGGTTTTGTCGGTTTTTCTTTAGTCGGTTCGGTTTTTGGTCACCCCTAGTATTCTTTTCTCACAAGCTTGAAACCGATATTATAGTACAAATAAAACCCTAGCTATGAGTTGTTATATATAGAAAAAGTACAAATGTAAACCCTAAATTGAACCAGGTCGGGCCCATTTACAACTCTCAAGTCACATTTAACAGTGTCTTCTGTTATGTGTAAATGGGAGAAGTTATGTGCTATGGTTTTGTGAGTGGAATTTATACTTACGCGTCCAAGTGGATAGATTTGTTCGTGATGTATGAATTCGGTATTCCTTTTACCACTTATAATCTCCAATAACATTACACCGTAACTAAATACATCTGATTTCTCTGAAAATACTCCTCTCATTGCGTATTCAGGAGACATATAGCCACTGCATTTCACCATAAAAAGTCAAAAGTTAGAGTATTCTCAAGAATCAGAACTCTAAATCGGAAATGAACGATTCTCACTATGTTCCAACAATCCTGTGAGTGTTTGCTAGATCTTGTGTCATTTGAAAAGTATGTGCCAATCCAAAGTCTGATATCTTGGGATTCATTTTGTCATCAAGTAGAATATTGCTACACTTCAAATCCCTGTGTATTATCCTTAAACTAGAATCCCGATGAAGATAAACAAGTCCACGACCAATTCCCTGAATGATGTTGAAACGAGTCGCCCAATTGAGTTGCGTACGTAATTCTTTGGATCTATTGAAATGAGAGATTGCTGAATATTATAATTTACTGAAAAATAAAAAATATTGATCAATTCAATCGCACCAAATAGAAACGTGTCCAAGCTTTTGTTTATCATGTACTCATAAATCAACAATCTCTCTTTCCCTTCAAAACAGCAACCCAAAAGTTTAACAAGATTCCTGTGTTGGAGCTTAGAAATCAACATGATTTCATTCTTAAACTCTTCAATCCCTTGCCCAGAGTGACCTGATAGCCTTTTCACTGCAATTTTCTGTCCATCATCTAACATTCCCTATTTCAAACATTTACTTTAACTCCTTGGAAAATATATAACAGAAGGAAGTTTGTGGATACAAGATTATTACCTTATATACTGCACCAAATCCTCTTTCACCAAGTTTGTTTCTGTAGCTAAAGTTGTCAGTGGCAGTTATAATTTGTTCAAATTTGTATATAGGCAATTCAAATGACTCATTGGTAAGATCATCTTCTTGTAGTGTATCCTTCAAAACTATACCATCCTCCGAATTGAAGTGATTCAGCTTCGTTTTCTTTCCTACAAAGATAAATTTTTTACACGTATAGAACTACAGATCATTAAGAGTATTTGGATGATTCTAATAAGACATATTTTCTTACCTTTCTTATATGCGCTACACTTGTATAAACAAAAACAAAGCCACCTAAGAAGACTAAACCACCTATGGCTGTGAGACTTATAGCAACTGCTTCTCCTTTTGTATCTTCACCTATAAACTTGTGTTAGCCTTATGCAAATTAAACTGTCTATAATTATGATCTAAACAAGAATTTTCATTTACCTGATTCCTCAAAAGCAAGGCGCAAGAAAAGATCCTCCCCACCAAATGAAAACTGTTGGATATCAATGAGGTCTTTTGTCCAAATCATACAGTGAATTCCTTCCACAAATGTATACGCCTTACAAGAGCAATTACCCAAACACCAGCTTCCACATTCTTCACTATCCATGTATGGAAAATATTCATGATAATCTGGAAGCTTAATCCCTTTTATTACTTGAAACTTATCTGGTTCACTCTTACTTTCATTCTTCTCACATAAAAGTTCATTTCACCTCACACAACCCCTTGTCCAGTTACTTTCCCTCCATTCATCATCCGACCATGGTAGAAACCCTCTTAAGCAATCACAAATAGGAAACTTTTGTCTGAACAAATTGAAAAAAACACCACAAACTCCATAAACATCACAAGGATTCGCTGGGGCTTCCCATGTAAAATCCAATACGCCTTTCAACCATGCCATATGAAAGCTTGTGGTGGCTTAAGAGACAAGAGTCTGATCTAATGAGATTGAACTATCTTTAGTTAATATATCAGTTGATAAAAGTTTACAAAAGTGGCACTTCTAATAGCCATATCCTTTTGCAGATTAAGACTTTAGAATTTGGAAAATTCACATATCTATCAGTTTAGTATGATGATCACATTTAATCTAAAGCCAAGTCTTTCCTTTGTTGTGATAAAGATAAACACTTGACTTTTTTCTGATCAAAATGTGATTTTTTACAATATGACATGGTCGCTTCTTTAATGAACTCACGACTAATATCCTGATAGATATACTTTATCAACTTTAATGTCAACCACTATATAAAAAAAGTGATATTGTACTGAGGGTTAGTAGTACAATTAATCATAGATCCAGTCAAAACCACATAAAGTCAACATGATGAAAGTAAACATTGTTTTGATCCTCTCCCTGGTATTGATCTTGAACTTATTGGTTAAAATCATAAATCATAGCATAAGATATTACATGTTGCAAGACACTAACTCTTGTATTAATGTAGGTTAGTCACATTAGTATCAGTTGTGCTCATCATCAAAGAAAATGTAATTTAATTAAAATCGTGAAATGTAAAAAAGAAAAAGAAAAAAAAAAGATCAGTTTCTTTAAAATGACAAAATAAAATTTGGTTATCATGCAAATTTCATCCCATTGCACATTCCTGAACGAATATAGGACATTCCATTCCATTTCATTCATCCTTAGTCTGGTTCCAAACAACTTTCTATTATGACTAATTAGGTGTTTCTGTTATGTTATTAGGGGGTTTATAATTTTTTATAGTAAGATCACTTAAGTTGCTTTAGTTGAAGTATAAATCGGAGGTTAGTGATAGTGAGTAGGCAATCTTGTTAAGGCTGTTTGGGAACCCTCTTAATGGTTTTATTAAGAGGTAACATCTGGATCTGAATCGTTAAGCATTCACGTCGTTTCGTTACGTTAATTAATTTCTTAATTAATTGTCATTTATGATATCGTACCAAGCAAGATACACTTTCAAACTTTATTTTTGCTCTTCTCCTCCATACATAGTTGTTTTGATTGAAACTTTATATTTATACTTTTGTTGTCCACTTTGCAAAGGAGTTCCCCATCACAATGCGCTAGATGACTAAATAATAGTATGATATCAAACACAATTAGAAGTAATCAATCACAAATACCAATGACAGAATTCAAAGTATCAACGAGAACACAACAGAAGACTCAACTTTCCCTTAATAATGTATGGGTATGACCAACATAGGATCTATATCTATATTTTTCTGTATCAAAATAACTACTTAAAAACACCTACTACAATAATTTAGGGGGTATAAGAATCTTTCTGCTAGTGAATTATGAGAATGCAGTTTGCAAACAGAGATATGTTACGATGCTTTACATTCACAATTCTTATGCTCACATGTTCTACTTGATATAGCTTTAGATTAACAGAATAGTAATATAAAACGATCACTTCATCAATAAGGACCAATCTTCAACCATGAATCCAACTAGTTTAGCTCAAAAAAGAACCAAATCTATACTGGTTCTTAACAAGCATGGAAGATAATCAATTTGTGAAGAGCAACCTGCATACAAAAATATATACAACGTACATTAAGATCTTGAAATTAAGGATTCGTAGGAAGGAAAGGGTCAACAAGATCTTATTACTATTAAGTCATGCATTGACTACTGAGCACAAGAAACACAAGTTTTTGGGAAGCTACCTAATTCTATTAGTTTAAGTCATGTAGGAAATGAGTACTCAGTCAAACTGTCATCAACTGTTTTTTAAATTATAATTTCATCATGTTGACTTTATGTGATTTTGACCGGTAGAATATAATAGATAAACTATAGCTATCACTGATCAGGATGTTAGTCACTAGTTCTTTAAAAAAGGGATGATATTACTATAAATGTAAGTTCTAGGAAATTTGATAAGAAAAGTCAAAGTGTATAAGATAATAAGAAAAGAGCACCGGTGGAAAAGTCATTTTCTAAATTATACTACCGAAGAACGACTCGTTCATAGATTGAAATTTGATTATCATGCTAAACTGAAAGGATCCATAGATTGTGAAGTTTCCAAATTCTAAAAACTTAAACTTCAGAAGGTAGTGTCTTTAAAAACCAATAGGTATACAATGAGTATTAGAAGAGATATAGCTGCAAACCGTTTATGTATGTACATCCTGCTTATTTCACTACAACACTGCAAGTCCACTGATACATTGACCAAAGATAATCCGATCTTGTTAAAAAATACTCTTGTCTCTCCCAATCGAATCTTTGAGCTAGGGTTCTTCACTCCAGGTAATTCCACTAACCGATATCTCGGTATATGGTTCAAAAATATTCTCCCAAGAAAATTTATATGGGTTGCAAACAGACAAAATCCAATCTCAGTTTCCGACACCAATCCCACCCTCACAATTGGCAACAATGGGAACCTAAGAATCCTAGATGATGACCAAAAGACAGTTTGGTCAACAAGCATAAAAGTCCAGTCAAACGAAACAATCGCAAAGCTTACAGACGCAGGAGATTTTACTCTTAATGATACAATCTCAGGGTTGACTTTATGGGAAAGCTTTGACTATCCTTGTAACACTATCTTACCAGGAATGAAACTTGGAACAAATGGAAAAACACAAGGAAAATATTTACTGACATCATGGAAAAGTGATAATGATCCAACAATTGGAGATTTTGTAGTTGGGCTTTCGGGAGAACAACCACCACAAGCTTTCACATGGCGTGGTGTGAAACCGTATTGGAGAAGTGGGCCATGGGATGGAGGAAGGTTTATAGGGATACCAGAGCAAGAGGCTGGCTACTCGAATCTAATGACTCTCATGCCTGAGAACTCACAAGGAGGAGCTTACCTCACTATTAATGTTTATAGCTCATCTGATATTAGATGGCTTTATTTGAGACATGATGGTGTGTTAGAGTTGAATTACTTGGATGATGTTCGTAACATATGGGAATTTAGTTGGGAAGCACCTGCGAATCCTTGTGATGTTTATGGAGTTTGTGGTGCTTTTTCAATTTGTACAAATAAGTCTACTATTTGTGAGTGCTTAAAAGGGTTTGTACCAAAATCGAATGATGAATGGAGTAAGAGTAATTGGACAAGGGGTTGTGTGAGGGGAAATGAGCTTTTGTGTGAGAAGAATGAGAGTAGTTTGGCTTCTGGAAAAGGTAAACCTGATAAGTTTCAGGTAATAAGTGGGATTAAGCTCCCAGATTATTATCAATACTTTCCTTACATGGATACGGATGATTGCAAGAGCTTGTGTTTGGGTAACTGTTCTTGTAAAGCGTATGCCTTTGTGGAAGGGATAAACTGCATGATTTGGGAACAAGAGCTTATTGATATTGAGAAGTTTTCATTTGGTGGGGAGAATCTTTTCTTGCGCCTTGCCTTTGAGGAATCAAGTAAATTCAAATTCTTGATTTTTGTAGATTTTTTCTTACTTCTTTATAACTATTAACACATGTTTATAGGTGAAGAAACAAACGGAGCAGCAGTAGCAGTTGCCATCAGTCTCACAGTTATAGGTGGTGTAGTCATCTTAGGTGGCTTTGTGTTTTGTTTATACAGGTGGAGGAAATATAAGAAAGGTAAAAAGATACGTCTTATAATCATCCAAATACTCTTACTATAATGGGCTAACTTTAGATATCTCATCTTTACATCAAGAACTGATCCTTGTGTGTCAAAAATTTATCTTTGTAGGAAAAAAAACAAAGTTACATAACTTAAGTTCGGAGGATGGTATTGTTTTGAAGGATACACTACAAGAAGATGATCTCAACAATGAGTCATTTGAATTGCCTATATACAAGTTTGAACAAATTATAACTGCCACTGACAACTTTAGCTACAGAAACAAACTTGGTGAAGGAGGATTTGGCGCAGTTTATAAGGTAATAATCTTGTATTCACAAACTTCCTTCTGTTATATATTTTCCAAGGAGTTAAAGTAAATGTTTGAAATAGGGAATGTTAGATGATGGACAGAAAATAGCAGTGAAAAGGCTATCAGGTCACTCTGGGCAAGGGATTGAAGAGTTTAAGAATGAAATCATGTTGATTTCTAAGCTCCAACACAGGAATCTTGTTAAACTTTTGGGTTGCTGTTTTGAAGGGAAAGAGAGATTGTTGATTTATGAGTACATGATAAACAAAAGCTTGGACACCTTTCTATTTGGTGAGTTTGTATTGATCAATATTACTCTTTATTTTCACTTGTAAAATCGTTATAATTGAGAAAAAAACTTATATTATTGTTTGAAATAGATCCAAAGAAACGTATGCAACTCGATTGGGCGACTCGTTTCAACATCATTCAGGGAATCGGTCGTGGACTTGTTTATCTTCATCGGGATTCTAGTTTAAGGATCATACACAGGGATTTGAAATGTAGCAATATTCTACTTGATGACAAAATGAATCCCAAGATATCAGACTTTGGATTGGCACGTACTTTTCAAATGACACAAGAGCTAGCAAACACTCGTAGGATTGTTGGAACATAGTGAGAATCTTTCATTTCCTATGTAGAATTGTTAATTGTGATTCTTAAGAATACTCTGACTTTAGACTTTTTTTTTTATGATGAAATGCAGTGGCTATATGTCTCCTGAATACGCAATGAGAGGAGTATTTTCAGAGAAATCGGATGTATTTAGCTACGGTGTAATGTTATTGGAGATTATAAGTGGTAAAAGGAATACCGAATTCATACATCGCGAACAAATCTATATCTATCCACTCGGACACGTAAGTATAAAAACATATTAACATACCACATAACTTCATCTAATTTACATGAACGTTTTTTTTATGGTTTGACATAATTTCTTCAGGCATGGAAGTCATGGAATGCAGGGAGAGGAGTAGAATTGATGGATGAGGTATTAGGAGAGTCAACAGAGGGGTTGAGATGCATACACGT